TGTGGAAAGCATTACGGTCGTGCGAATCGCCCTACACCCATGTCCGGGGTGTTCATCACAGAACGCTGCACCTGACGCGCTTCTCGCTGATTAGGACCGCGTCCTCGCCTCTAAGTTTGGTCCTATGTGGAGACAGTGGTCCTGTGTGGAAAGCATTACGGTCGCCTTCATCCGGCAGTAGCCTAAACCTCTAGAACTAGCATACTCGAAAGATGTGCGCACGCACAGCAGCTATACTTTCAGACCACCTTAATTTAAACTTACCAACCCAAATGAGAGGATGAACAAGTTGTTGACAGGACGCAAGGATTTCACGTCGAGTCTTCTAATCTCAGCATAATTGCTGAGCACGTGCCATAGATACTCCATCCGGTTTATCAACTTGATCCATCTGATCCGCTTCGTCATTGATCAAATCACTGAATTAACCAATAGTGAAGATCAAGCGGATCAAGTGACAACCGCTTCGCTATTGGTCTCAATCTGACCAATGACGAAGCGGATCAAGTGGATTAGGCGCACCAAGTAAGGCGCGTCTTCGCTCCGCGCCTACCGTTATCGCTTTTGTGCGATAGACATCGATTACCCACTGCTTCCACGAGGAAAACAATGCGCTAATTTTGCACTATAATTTCCTCATTTCAAGATTCTGTGTCAGTGTGACTTCACCAATACAGAACATGGTTTTCTTCTACGTATGTTGCTGCGCTAGTGCTGCTTTCCTAACAAAGCGCATCCTACTCTGAGGGGTGAGACAAGAACTTTAGATGTTTGAAATGTTTGTGGATGTCACGCAGTTTATCCATAACACCAAAATCATTTTTTTCTTTGTCAGAAACTCTGGGTCTGCCCCAAAATACTGAGCCTGCGCTGATTGGTCTTAGCACGATGTCTTGCGTTCGGTCGTGTTGGCTAAATTCCAGAAACAGTTGCGCGAATGTTCCGGTCATTAAACTTCTGCTCACACTTAAAAATTACTTTTATAGTGTTTCTGTGAAACAATCCCTTTCGCACATTTTTATTAGATGTGATGTGCTGTTATTGTTTAACTGAAAAATTTTTTCTTGTATCGTGTTATGATATTGTTTCGTCGCTCGTGAAGCTGCAAAATTAGCAATATTCTCAGGGTACTACAGCCAAAGATCTCTGTCTGATGGCTTCTGGAGGAGATGCTCTTCTTGCTCTTACGGGCAGACGTACGACCGGTCAAAGCATCCGCACTCAAAATGGTTCGGTTTGGTTTTTCGAGGATTTTTTGTTGTTCATTATTTGTTTTTATTGAAAACAAGGAAAATTGAGTTTAGTAACGGCAGCTGTAGCAATCGCGAATATCGTCAAGTCATCGCTGGGTCCTGTTGGACTTGACAAAATGCTTGTAGATGATGTTGGAGTGAGTTGATATCTCAGGCTCTGATCTAGTTTGAAGGTCTTGTATGATTTCGTTCCAGGATGTCATTGTTACAAATGATGGCGCCACGATTTTGAAGCAGCTAGAAGTGGAACACCCTGCCGGAAAAATCCTTGTGGAGCTAGCACAACTTCAAGATGATGAGGTGAGTAGATTATTGCGTTAGAGTTTCGTCCATAAGTTATGTTTTTATGAGCTTATTCACTAATCTTGGTTACTCTTCTTTGCTCGCTTAGAACTGTGGTAATCG